TGTGGTCATACATCCTGGTAACATGGCCTGGTTACATAGTCAAAACTGCGAAGGCGGCCTCCCTTGTCTGCTTTATTTCAATTCTTTCTACTCTTGCCGACTTTATTCCTAACAAAGCAATCATTTTCCTTTTGATATAAAACACGTAATGACTGATTCTGAGTGAAACGGTGAGCTTTGTTTTTTTCATTGATTTGCACTTTCCCCGGGGGTGAGGCCGGTAGAACCGCTGAGGGTTCGAGGAAGAAACAAACGTTTTCCCTTGGGTAATTTAGTGTTAACAACTGGTTGAAAATGTAAATTAGCCACCGTAAAATGTAAAAAAGCTGACGTTTCGAGCGTTAGCCCTTCGTCAATCGCTCTGATGAAGGGCTAACGCTCGAAACGTCAGCTTTTTTACTCTTTACGGTGGCTAATTTACGTTTTCAACCCAGTTGTTAACACTAAATTACCTGCTATACTCTCCCACCGACGCAGTACCACAGTTTCTTTAGAAACTTACCCCTTTATTCGTTTTCCCTTGGGGCCAGTCCTTAAGCGTTTAAATGGAATTATCATGGGAATTAATCATTAGGTGTTTCTTGAACCCTCCTATTCAAAAATAAAAATAGTTAATAAATAGCATTTAAAAGAAAATCAACTGCAAGCTAGAAAAAAAATATACAAATATAAGACTCTGCCTCATCCCATGCAGGAGAGGAAAAATTTAAAGGATTAAGTCGTGAGGGCTTAACTTTTAAGTACCAAGCGCATCTGACAACACATTTTATCATCATACATTGTTGAAAATCTACATCTCTGTTCTATAAAATTGACAAATTTAAATTCGCCAGCCGATCGAGTTCGTTTAAACTAAACCCACCTTATTTAAAATATAATTCTCCTCCAGCTGGCCAATGATTCGATAAGTTAACTTTTCCGCACTTGCATATTTTGTTTATTTTAGTGGTCGAGGTTCAAATCATGGCTTCCATTCTCAGGTAATTCCAGTAAGTAGCGCTTATGGTAATTGCTGCGTTGTGCGTAAGAGAATTTCGTGTAACTTTATGTTTTCTGTTGTCTTACTCGTGTTATGTCTATCATCTCATGTCGTGTCAAGTGTATCATTTGACAAAATGTCTTATATCTTTCGTCGTTTTTCCGAAGTCTGTCAAATAACGGCGGTCTGGACTTGTGATGTCAGCGAAGTCGAACCTATCTTGTAAGCCTGCTGTGCAGGCGTCTTATTAGTGCGAGCTAACTTTATAAGCTCGCGATCGTTTTTCCGACCAGCCATGTTTGATTTGCAGTTAGAGTGGACGGTGGGGGTAGGGGGCGAGGGAAGGGCGAAAAGACTCACTCCCCCACCGACCGCCCCCTTGGTACAAATTTGTTTTTTTCCCCAGCCTTCCGCTGCCATTAAAATCAAAGATGGCGGCCATAAGTTTCGTTATGAAATTACTGAGCACTCGCTCGCCAGAATTACGCTAGCTCTGCAGGCTACTATCTTTTTTACAGTAACAACAACATAAACACTTTGTTTTACTAGGGTAAATAATAAAGTGCGTGGTCGTCCGATTTTGTCATCACTGGTTTGATTACAGACCGAATTGGACTCCACTTAGTCCTATCACCAATGAATCATAAAAATTACAATTCTCGAGAAAAGAAGAAAGCCCCATTTTAGGAGTCTGTACACTGTTTCTATAGTGATGAAAACCAAGGATGTGATTGGTCGATAACAAACTGCTCGATAACAAATTCGCAAGTGAATTAGTGGGGAATAGGTACCTCCTACAACCGAGTTCGAGGTCTGTACTGTAAGTTAGGGAGCGAGGTTTTCCCGCTCGGATTCATGAATCGAACGGATCTTATAACTGAGAGATATGATAAGAGTCTTTTAAACCAATCACTATCGGGGAAATTGTAATTTTCATGATTAAGATTAAAGCAACACAGCAAGAAACGCGTAAAGAGGATCACAGAGGAAATCGAAATGTGGGAAGAACATCAGCTACACACTAGGCTGCTCCTTGAGTGCTATGTTTTTGTTCTTACGTCATCTGTGGTTTACCACAGAAAAGACGCATCCAAATGGAATTTGTCACTGTTATAGCTGTCCTGTCATGTCACGCAATGTCTTTCATGAGATGTCTGTCACGCATAACATTATCATTTGTTTCTTTGATATTCTCACCAAGTTACAAAGTTCTTTTGTGATCAAGGACTGAACAGAAATATGTCAGAATAGTACCTTTTCATTTTAGTCAATGAACAGGAAAGTTCAATTTTTATCTTTGAGGCATTGATGTGCTATCTAGTAAGTAATATCACTGAAGTTGTCGAGAGTGACAAAACAATTTTTGTAGGACGCTTGTCACTCTTTTGTACTCTAAAAGATCATTATCATTAACCAAACACAGGGCACCCCAAATTCCGTTTATTGTATAAAATAGGATATTGCTATGTTTATTATGTTTTCATTGCTACGTTATGTCTATCATATGTCATATCCCGTCATGCATCCAGGTGTCATGTCGTTTCATGTCTTATAATCCACCAAATATTTTTGCACGTGCGCCTTTGGTCTTAAAACATCATACGACCGAATATGCACCTGCTAAGACTGGTGAATATCCAAGGATATGTCCACGGACAAATACCTTTGTATATTTGCGCGCCAAATGGAGGCTGTTGTTTATGTATCATGTTTCTATTCTTGCGATAACGAAAATGTTTGTAATTCTCCCTTACTCTAAGGGGCGTTTGTCGGAAAAGCAACAGTTAAAACTGACTTTGTGCGAGTGGATGCGGGCAGAACTTGGGGAAGAACTCAAACGGACATGCTCTTGCAAGTGTCTCCTAAAGAGGAAGTTTTATCAAGGCCTCTGAAGCCTGGTGGTATTCCGCTCGATGTCGCTCTGATTATGTTGGACTCCGTTTCTGATGCTCACTTCAGAAGGAAAATGCCTAACACTTTGAAGTATTTGATCGAACACCAGACCACAGTTTTTCTACAAGGTTAAGTTACGGTGTCCTCTTTTTTATACCAGTATTTATGTTAGCAAACGTTAGTCTCCGACAGAACAGTGAACTCAAGCTCACTGCAAACACTAATATTCTGACTCCAACTAATTTCCAGGCGAGACAATTGTTGGGGATGGAACAACAGCCGCAATGTCGGCTATGCTCACCGGGATAGCTGAAAAGATGCAACCTGAAGCAAGAAGGAGTGAGCCTAATGCTGAGCCGGTGGACAAGTGGAGGTGGATTTTTAAAGATTTCAAAGAAAAGGGATACGCCACTTTATTCTCAGAGGACGATGCAAAGTTTGGCTCGTTTTCCTACCGTCTACACGGGTTTAAAGAGCCACCCTCAGATCATTATAGCAGACCGTTTTGGTTAGAGGCCTTAAAAATTAAAGATGATTATTGTTTAGGTAGCCAAGCTGTTCATAACATCTCACTAGAGTATCTTTTAAGCTTTTATCGTGGATACAAAGAAAAACGGAAGTTTGCTATAATAGCAATCAACATATGTCATGACGATCAGAATGCCTTAGGTTATGCTGACGAAGACTTAAAGAGCTTTATAAAAAAGTTTGACGAAGAGTCCTTCTTGAAAAACACTCTTTTAGTTATATTTGGTGATCATGGAGCTCGATTCTCTGTCCAAAGAAAGACAATCCAAGGGAAGCTAGAAGAGAGACTTCCTTATCTGTCACTTACAGCTCCGAAGTGGTTCACAGAGAAGTACCCAGATTTATACACCAATTTGATCCATAATTCTAAAGTACTAACCACACCCTTTGACGTGTACGCAACCCTGCGTCACATCCTTTCGTATCCAAGTTATCCGAGCGGGATAACAACTGGTCAAAGCCTGCTTAACAGGATTGACAAAGAGAATCGCACATGCGAAAATGCTGGTGTTGAGGAACATTGGTGTCCATGTCTTAACTTTGAAGAAATTTCGATCGATGACCCTTGGATAGAGAAGTCTGCTGAATTTATAATTAGCTATATCAACAATTTGATGTTTCAGAAGCACTCCGGATTGAGAAAACTGTGCCACCAACTTGTTCTAAAAGAAATAACGCACGGTTATCGTGACATGCCAAGCGGGAAAGTGCAGTTCTTGAAGAAGACACATCGCGACGAGAAATGTGATTCTTGTGGGTTGTCGTACGGTAAGAAATCAGTTAATACCCTGGCACAGAACACAATGTATCACCTACAACTGGAAACATCGCCAAATGATGCATTTTATGAAGCAACGGTTAAAATGAAGGAGGGCGAGCCATCACTTGTAGGAGACATTAGTCGTATCGATGCTTATAGTGATCAGCCGCATTGTATCATGGACAGATTTCCGCTTTTACGGAAGTATTGTTATTGCTTGCGACAGCGGTCGAGATGATTAAATTTGCAATGAGACAGAGACCTGTTTCAATGAATGTTCAACGCCTTTTTATTCGAGTTCAGGTTATTTAAACCCATGGTGAATACCTACAAAGAGTTTTAAAGAAATAATCTTCACTTGAACTCCGGTTTGGGTTTCAGTCGACGATAACTGAAGCACGACAAATGGGTAGTAAGAATGAGCATGGAAAAAAGATAACAAGTAACTTGGAGTCTTGTGAAAAAAAGCGCTTAATCGAAGTAGGCTATTGGTAACTGGTTTAGAAGTAGTTAATAACGTTTGTTTAAAAAAATAACAAAAGAAAAGAAAACAAAGAAAAGGGGACTAAAATTATTGAAGGGGAACAGAAGATCACTTTTATAATAATATCAATAGCGATTTCGTAAAACTTTTGACAATAAAAATGAACTGTAAAATACGACGTTTCGACCAAATTTTTTTTATTATTTTTTTTTAATGAGCTTCTAATTATTTCTTCTCTTTGTATGTTCTTACTTTCCGTTTACACTTCTAAAAAATTTTATGCTTCTTACACGCATATATAAATCCATCGTGACATTCTTACTATTCACTTGAATGGTAATGACCGAAGTTTGGTCGAAACGTCGTCTTTTATCGTTCACTTTTATTGTCAAAAGTTATAATAATATAGTACATTTAATAAGAAACTTCTTTAATAGTGAAATAACGGGAATTATTCATCAGCCGCTGGTAGGATTTAGCGTCTATTCAAACCGTAAACTAGTCTAGCTCTACATTCATAGGAGACTTTTAATCCACAGCTTATTTTTTTAAAACGCTCTCTGGCTACTGTTAACTGTCAAACATTGACTGGTAAACTTTCTACCAAACGTTTTGGATTAAAGTTGCAATAAAAGGAGACAAGATGATCCCTGCCTCACACTGCACGGTTTTTTTTAATCTAAATGTGCGGAGAAATTAGAGACCGAACGCACTTAGTTGTTAGTGCTAAATACAAAACCTTAGTTGTGAAAGCCAGTGCGAAAAATCAGTTCGCATCATAGGCTTTGCCGGCACTGTTACCTTGTGTTTCCTCGGCCTTAAAAATCAGCATGACTGTGTAGCTCTGTTAATGAATTGAGCTGTTTATAATGAACAATTTTTAGGTCTTTTTATTGTGTGACGAGCGCCATCAGTACTTTTACTACTGTCACATGTAACCCTCTTTAACTAAAGTCTTGACTTACTAAAGTACTTACGGGTTATTTTTACAGCCATTTCGTTTAGTTTTAGAAAAAATGAAAATGTTTTAAATAACTAGCGGCCTAGGTCGGTCAGCATTGGGAAAAACTGTGCCCTAGGTCCTGGATACTGCCCTCGGCTTACGGCCTTAGACGGCATTCAAGCTCTCGAGCACATGTCGTTTTTCAGGATACAGACCTCCCTACTGGTAAATGATTAAATTCTGATCGATGGTTTTTCGCGCGTAACTTCTTCCAAAAAGTTTTGAGTTCATGAAAGAAGGCTAAGAGTGCTCATATATCTCGTGAATGCCATAGTAATCATTCTTTGTTTCCGTGAGTCTTCTCTTTAAACTGCTCTTCATTTAAATGTATATGGCTGAAGTGGTGGTAAAAGATTTGTCGACTTGTGAATAGTTTCATTAACGAGTGCTTTCCATCTGCTTGGATCGCTGGACATAAACACTACTTCGTCTTCCACTCCTTTGGCTGCGTTGAAAAAATTTATTATCAACGATTCAGGTAGCATCCTAGCCGCTGGGATGCTACCTGAAGCGAACCTGCCAACATTAACTGCGCGTATGTTTTGAATGTGAATTGCTAGCCGTCTGTTCGCAGGACGAAGGTAATTGAACCAAAGCAAATCTGATGTCAAAACGAGGGCTCCATTTCCTAGAAGTTGACGAGAGCCATTAGACCTCAAATATCGAAGGTTGACCGAAAGTATTTCCCTCTCTATGACACCGATATTACCAAATTGCTGTGCGACTCGCACCTCAAGTTCATGAGTCCAACTTGCAAGAGGCAAACAACTATAGCAACAGCCCATGTTTTCTAAAAAGAGGAAGAAAAGAAACAGGTTTAAGTGTTGAGAAATAACTCTAAAAGAATATACACTCACAAACACACCCATCTGTAATTTCGATAATGTTAAAGTCCTGCCTCACATTCATGTACGCGTGTGTAGTCATGTAGAGGTATATTTTTTCATATACGAAACAAAGCACGTTGTTTCAAATCGAAGCAAGTCTTCAGGATTATACAGGTGAATTGATTGGCAGATCGCCTTCCTGGCAGGTCTGGAGTGAGGGTAAATCATTTTTTTTACGTACTTTGGGATTAAGTCAATGAACGTTTGTACATTAATTTGAGGTCATGTTATCGCAGACTAATCTTCTCAAAGTTAGAATACACAAATGGCAAAAATTGATTAAACTAAAAACATACGATTTGGCTTCAAATTCAACCACAAAAAGAGACTTTCATGGAAGAAAATTAAATATTACATTCTTGTATATGTAAATTTTACATTTAACAGGTTCGAGAATGGAAATCAATTTGATCATGCTTTAGTTTGTTGCAACGCGATCAAGAATTATGACGTAAAAACAGTTATTGGTTCTTACAAATTTATTAACAAACTAAAGAATACAATTTTCATTTCGCTCACTCTTCGTTGTGGCAAGAATAAAACTTATGGCCGTCTTTGCGCTTCTACATCATCAAAAAGCGAGCGAGAGATCGAGTCTTCTCTTCAGTAGGATCTCACACAAAACAGATTGCTCTTTATTCTTAGCACTTTGAAGTGTAAACTCGACGAGAGACCTATATTTCTAATCTGCAGCAATTTACACAACGGCTCTTCACAAAGGATGATTGTGTATAAAGAGTGCGAGTACTTGAAACAGCCTTAGGCCAACAAACCAGTCTGCCCTAACTAGATTACTTGAGAGGAATCTATAAAAAAAATGCTTCATTATAAAGTCAGCTGAGTGGCTTTAAATAAGAAGCATCATTAGGAAAGATCGTTACAAAAACAATATCACTAGGCGGAAATATTACGAATTCACATTTCAGTCGGAGTAAGCTGTGTTGTTGTCGTTTTTGGAGGGCGGTATTTAATTCGCTGACTTATAAACGGTTTCTATGATTATTCTTCCCCACATTTGTGCATCTCTTATAGAAAACACAACTTGGTCTTCTATTCCTGTGGTTGTGTCGACAAAATCAAGCATGACTTTCCCCGACCCAACTTTAACTGAACGAATGTTATGAATGCCTATCTCTATCGGTCTGTTCAGGCAAAGATAAGAGAACCAAAGTAAATCTGCCGTTAAAACAAGGGCTCTGTTTCCTTTTACTTGACAACAGCCATTAGACCTCAGATATCGAAGGCTAACCCAGAGAATTTCTTTAGCTATGATGGCGCTTGAATTCTGAAAGCGTGCGTTAACTTTTCCCTCCAAATGAACAACGCAGAAACAACTTGAACAACAACCCATGTCTCCTGCGATAAAGAAAGGATTTCAAACACTTTCAAGTACCAAGGAAAACCACTAGAGAAAAATTGTCTTTTCAACTTTGTCTCTATCAGTTCAATAGTATACAGTCCCTGTAGCTTCCAAACCCCCGAATTCAAGGAAATATCATTACATATCGCATGAGCTTAACTGCAGCCACGGAAGGCAAAAAAGATCTTGGCAATCCGGCAACAAGAAGAGCCATAGATTTAGGCAGCATAGCACTGTTAGTAAGCTTGTAGATATTATTTCGATCCACATCCTCAGAGGCCCTCCTGAAATCGTCAGAGTTGTACTTTATCATACCTTTTCATTCGCTTGTCTAGCTTATCTCTGGCGAAAACATGTAACTGAAATTGCTACTAACTAAACGAAAGGAATGCGGTAGAAAGAATTTTCATTCGCCGTTGTGAGTATTCGCCAATTTCAATCTCAAAGCATATCGCACACTGTATTCCAGTCCAACATATCAGTTTTCCATGCTGAAAAAATGCGCTCAGTTATCACCCACCTGCCTGTTTCCTGGCTCTGTATTTAGGTGTTGAGATTTTTATACTGGAATTTGGTGTAGGTTTTCCCAACACAACCTCTCTTTTCTCTCTACCGGTACCTTTGCTATTTCGCTGTTTACCGAATAAATACCTTTAACAGGCGAAGAAGATGCCGCGTCACCGTGTGGCACGACACGGAAAACTACTCAGCACAAATAGCTCAATGAAACGATTACTTTACACAAATTAGCTCATTGATATATTTAGGATGTTGTACTGAAGACAACAGCATGTGCTGCCTTCAGAAAGAATGTTTTTCCTCTTATCACAAGTGCTGAGCACTGAGAAAGTTTTGAGTCGTTATGAAACCATAATCGAAACTGAAAATCTTTACATTTCGTGCTCCGTTGAGGTATAGGTTTGGTGAGGTGGGCCACTATTAGGTACTACTGAAACAAACTGGCTGTTTCCTTAGTGAAATCATCGGATAATTTTGGGTGCATAAGATATTTAGCCATCAAATATATAGTATGCTGGTCAATAGACATTTGGACATTAAAGGAAGGATAGCCTGGCATAAGTTCAAGATTGGGCATTTTCTACAGTTTTCTTAGGTATGGTTTTATTAGAGCCCGAGAGTTCTTATTTTCTGACAAATAGCCAACTTTGGCTTTTAAAAACAGCTGAAATATCAGCGGAAGAATCAGGTTTACATTTTTTCATTTTCTTCCTATCCTCATTATGGCAATCGAGGGAGGGGATGAAGTGTAGAGGTGTAGTGTTCTTTGCTGATTTTTATCCATATAAGATTTTTTTTTTTGTTTTTGTTTTTTTTTTCATATGTGATCATCAGCGCATAATCTTCACTGTTGAAAGAATTATACTGGCAAGAACGTTTTCCCTTTTAATTCTGTCAAAGCTCATAGTGAGAATTCAGATCTTCTAATTTCAGCCATTCTTTGCTGATTTTTATCCATATAAGAATTGGTTTTTTTGTTTGTTTTTTTTCATATGTGATCATCAGTGCATAATCTTCACTGTTGAAAGAATTATACTGGCAAGAAAGTTTTCCCATTTTATTCTATCAGAGCTCAAAGTGAGAATTCAGATCTTCTAATTTCGTAGATCTCTAACTAAGGTTGACACTTTTTTTTCCCTGCACAGTAGGCGACTTTGACCACGTGTGCCAAACCTTCACTTTGATAAATGATCGCCAACTTCCAAGCGTAGACAATTTCAGTAAGATTTTAGCTTTTTTGGTAATTTAGATGTGAAGCATTAGAAGTTGTCAAATCAGCAGCACATAAAAGAAACCTTCGCTGTTCAAGGAGTTTGGCGCCTCTTGCACAAGAGCGGTCGATAGTAACTAATCAGTTATATTGTCTAACAGTTGAACAGTCGAGTGAGATGTTGCATATTCACATTTGAAGGGGGTTGAACACAGACCAATATGAAGGCGGCATAGAATTTTCTGAGGTTTGAACCGTTTCGTTAATCCACTTCTTCCATCTTTTGGGATGCCTGATCGCAAACACCACTTGGTCGTCCTTCCCAGTGGTGGTGTCGACGAAATCGATTATCAAAGCGCGAGATAATCCCCTAGCTCTACCAACTTTAACGGTTCGAATATTTTGAATGAGCATTTCTATCTGCCTTTCTGGGAAAACGTAAGTGAACCAAAGCAGATTCGCCGTCAAAACAAGGGCTCCATTTCCTCTTATTTGATTGTTAAAGCCATTGGACCTCAGATATTGAAGATTGACCCAGAAAATTTCTTTCGCAAAGATGGCGCTTGAATCGTGAAATCGTTGGTTGACTCGTTCTTCTAACAGATCGACCGCCCATGAAAAACAACAACTACTTGCACAACAGCCCATGCTTCCTAGAACGAGAAAAAGTCAACATTTTTTATTGAAGGGGAAGTAGAACCTTCGAAAAAATACTTATCTACTACTTAACCCTCACCAGGCCAATCTCGTTTAGATCTCGTAGTACTACTTAAAAAATTCAGAGCCCTGGTTACAACGGAATATCTGTCAAGTGCATTTCTGTCATCAACTGTATCAGAAACGTCAGTGCGAAATTAATGACGCAATGCTTGATTGGAAAGGAGCATGTTTACATTTGGATCAATGGAAGAAGCGGTTTTTACGCTGTAACTGTCTCTATTTTGCATAAATGTTATTACTCCATTGATACTTATTCGATTAGCAACAAAGAGATGATAATTTCTGTCGATCTTCAAATTTCCTTGTCACACGACGAGCTTTGCCCACCGAAAAAAATTATGAAAATTAGGCTAAGAGGAAATTGTGTTAGTCTGGCCTATCATTGAAATATCTGTCAAGTACATTTCTGTCATCAAGTGTATCAGAAACGTCAGAGCCAAATTAATGAGGAAATGCATGATCGAACAGGTGCATATTTACATCTGGATTGCTGAGAAAACCTCTTCTTATGTCATATCTGTCCATACTTTGCATAAACATCGTCATTGCATTTACTGCCAACTGACTTATTGAATGTCTACCGAGAAGAAACGATGATTCTATCTATAGGTCTTCAAATTTCCTTGTACCTATCATTATGTATGAGTTAACACTGGATTCATGAATTTAAATTCATTTAGATCTTATGATTTGACTTGCTGCAACTTGAGCGTACTTAACTAATCTACATTTCGACAAAAAAGGCTCTCAGTTATCTATAAATAACAAAACTTGTTTGGTAACCACTCTCTCAGGTCTACCCAAACCTTTCGAAAGTGTCACCTAAAAGAATTAATGTGCCTCCAATGAACGTATTTGACCGTATCGAGTGTGCGATAAATTTAACGTCAAAGTTCTCTGATGATGATACCTTGTTCTATTACACGTACATTCATCAAAATTAGCTTACTTCTTTGTAGGCTACTGAGTGAATTGGATATTACCCTCCTTTTTGATTCCAGGCTTCTTGTGTGAGGAATGTGATTTTAAGACGACTACGATCAACAACTATTGACTTTGAAAATACACATTGTCATGATAAAGACAGAAGAGAGCACGCGCGCAGAAGATCAAAGTACTGTTTCAGATCGAGGCCTATTGGACCAAACATCCCTCATGTAGTACGAGATGGATTGTATCAGAATCTGGCTTCCAATAACATCCAAACGAAGAAACGCCATCAGTAATAAAGCATGTTTTCCATATATTTCTAAAAGAGCTATTAAGACTGAATAGAGCCTGTCGAGGCGTTTAGTTAGTAGATGGCGGTGCAGTGTAAAAATTGAAAGGAAGCAAAATATGAGAAATAAAGGAAGGAAAAGAGGAGAGAGACACAAGAAGTGGGATTATACCCTGAATATTGCCTTCTCTTCCTTTCTTTTCCTTTTCTTTCTTTCTTTCTTTCTTTCTTTTTTCTTTTTCTGATTTCAATTTTTCTCGCTTTGATGGCAAAATCGAGCCATTGTTAAAAGTTAAAATGGCATATTGTTAAAATCGAAACGAAGGCTTGTGTAATTGTTTTATTTTTACCGCAGTGCAAAGGCTTGCACTTGGATGGAATTTAATCCAAGTATAATCATTTAAGCAGGATGTTCAGTCAGGATGTGATATATGTGAATTCATTATTTACATCTTATGAAGTTAATTTCATGATAGGTTGCTACAAGAGAACATAAGTTCTATTCGTTGTATAAAATACCAAAGAGAATAGCAATGGAACTTGGAACGATCAGCAGTCATTTATCCCAGATTTAAAATTAAGTGAATATTGGAGAAAGAGATTGTCAAGTTTAGAATATGGAAAGCAGACGCATTAGCCATGAAGGGGAATGAGTACGCAAATCAGCTTTTTAGACTTAGCCAGTCAGTTAGAAATACCACCAGTCATTAAGTCAGTTAGACCGTCCTGTGTATCGATCGGTTAGTCACTTCCGGCTGTCTGTCAGTCAGTATCGTCCAGTCTGTTGGTTAGTCGCACAACCTGTCAGTCAGTCAGTCATTAATGCGCTCGGTCATTATATCAGTCAATCATTCATTTTGTCAAGTAATAAATCCGACAAGCAGATCAATTAGTTAAGCAGTCCCTCTAACGGTCAGTCAGCCAGTCAATGAATAGATCCGTCGTGTAGTCTCTGTGTCAAGCAAGCGTTCAGACATTCTGGATTGCGAACTGCAGTACTCATTCAATCAACTAGCCAATGCCAAACAGTTCAACGGTCTTTCATTCAGTCGGCCAGTCTTCATTTATTTTGTAAATTTGGCTGTGGGTGAGTCATTCAGCCAATTCAGCTAGGCATTAACCTGAATAGTCACTTTCTCTTATAGTCATACGGTCGGTCTCCCAGTCACTTCTGCATAAATACCATTACTGTATTTACTTTTATTTGACTTAGATATCTACCTACCTACCTCAGAAAAAAATGCCTCTGTCAATCGGCCCTTGAATTTCAAAGTATCTATCATTCACGTCGTAATAACAGAGTATAGCTTGTAACTGCTATCAGGATTTATTCCATTTGATGCAAGCATACTATTGATGCTGATGCCACATGATGTTTGATGCAACCAAATCTGTATTTTGATGAATGAGCTCTCAGTTATCTACAAATAGCCTAGGTCGCCTGAAAAAGTCAGTGTCCTGCAATAGGCCTATTTGACCGTGGCGAGTGAATATTCTACCTCAAAGTTCTTCATGACTAACACCTGTTCATGTAAAAGTTACGCGTTAAGAACTGTGCTTAATCTAGGTAAATCTACTGAGTACAAAGACTGTCTCAGGCTTGCTAGTATGGACACCTTAACCCAAAGACGTCTTACTGCGTCTTTAATCATGTTTTTCAAGGCATACAGGCTACAGGGAGCTTCTTATATCTCTAATTCGTATTCGAATATGTCTACCTTTTTGTTTCCAGGCTTCTTGTGCGAGGAATGTCATTTTAAAACAACTTACGATCGACTAGTATGGACTTAACGAATTCACATTGTCATGGTAGCGAGACAAAATAGAGAACGCGCGCTAAAGTTCAAAGTACTGTTTCAGATAGAGGCAATTTACACAAACAAGCGATGACGTAGAACGAGATGAATAACATCGGAACTTGGCTTCCAATATCATCTACAAAAAGAAAGCATCATTGATAATACAGCGTGTTTTCTACTTTTTTTTAAGCGTTAAAAACTTTTAAAGGAATATAGCCTGTCCGGGCGTTCATTTCATAAATTGATGGTTCGGGGTATTAATGAGAAGGAAGCAAGAGAAAACGAAGAGGAGAGGGAGAGACTGGGCACGAGCGGCACCCCTCTTGATACTACGTCTTTTTTCTTTTTTTCTTCTTTCTTTTTTCATTTCTTTTTCCTCATTCGTTTCTCTTTGCTCTGATGGAAATATCGTATCACTGTTTACAAACTTCACTAGGCTAAGAAAAATACTTTCGAAATCGGAAAGGTAGCAAGGCATATTTGAGTTATTAGGAAATTTCAAAAAATTCATTAACATATTTTCAAAACTAAAACGAAGGCATACATATGTTTTTCCCATTCACTTTCATATTTAGGCCGCTGCAAAAGTCAGCCTTTTAAAGATTTTTATCTCAGTGTAATCGTTTGATTAGAAAGTTCTGTCAGAATATCAGATATGTACTTTTATTACGTACACCGAATGAAATTTTATTACAAGTTTTTAACAAAGTATTAGTAATTGCGATAACTCTTGACAACTGTGCAAAGATATTATCAGTACGGTGCATTTTTTACCGAAAAGTCCTCAATTAAATACCCATGATATATTTCCCACGAGAATATTTCTGCCGATCAATTATATGATATTCGTGAAGCCAATCATTTAAGTCTAATTTCGACTAGTGTTATCCATTTTAGTGCATTGCAAAGCTCTTCGTATCCGAAGCATGCATTTCGGAATCGATGTTGTCTTTTGACACAGTGGACACCACTCAGATCCACCATTCGATGCTGGTCTACCTGACCTGATTTTAATTATAAGTCAATTTACAGTTCTGAACGCCGCTGTTTCAGCCTTTTTTTATCTATAGCAGTTACTGAAGGAAACAACCGTAAAGCTCTACCCTCATTGTTTTGTAGCCATTTTTCGTAGTCTTCGGCCAAAGCCTTACAAAGCGAGCCCTGATGTGCTGTGACAACACATTGAAAACCACCGTGTCTTTATCCTCATCATTACCTTGAAATATCTTGAAAAATAAGCAAAGTTGGTGCATTAGCTAAATGATTAGGCCGTGGATCTTCGGATTGATTCTTAGATTTAATCTTCGGTTGTATACTTCAAAGGATATCGATATGGAAGGATTTATGTTCGTTCAAAAGCGCTTCTGTATTAACGCAAAAATTGCATAATATATTTCATGAACCTTTTCGGGTCCAGAATATGGACATTTCTTTTAAATACTTAGCGTTCTTTGCGTCATCTTAAAAACAAAATTCAATGCTAACACCTGACTAACCTTTTCAACGTTATCCTCTTTATACAAAACCCAGTCAGTTTCTCCGTCAGCGCGCGATGAAAGCATGTAAGTCTTCGTGTGCTGATAGGCATCATGTTTCCCTTGGGTAGCGATTTTTCTGATCACCACGTCCTTTCCGAGGTCAACTTGAACCCACGGCTCATTGTCACCACGGCTTGCACTCCATGCCTTGTCAGAGTTTAGGCGAACGAGATGGGGAAGCGTGTTTTGGTTCTCAATTGATGAAGCATTAAAAGCTGAGTCTGGAATCCTTCCATCTTCAAGACCTAAAGCCTCATTCAAGCATGCTTTTAAAAGAAAAGCAAGTTCTAATTATCTGATAATACGATTATCAAAACTACACAATTAAGTCATTCAGTTGATAGAGTAGGCCCCTGTCATCTTAAGCTGAAAAAGCGGCAAACATTTCATTCTAATTTTTCCCTCTACCGACCCCCTTTACCACCGAGAAAAAGGAGTCATACGATTACAGCTACATCATGAAGTACACAAAATGTAGCAAAGAACCAGTTTCGTCTCTTATGCCTTTCCCCATTACTACTGTAATTAAATCAATAGGTCTTGCCAAGAATACACGAAGAAACGAAACAGCAGATAAAATCAGGGGCCGGTTTGCATTAGAGCGAATTCAAAAATTTCCAATTTTCGGCAAACCAAAATGTGGCAAAATTTTCGCACTTTCCAAATTCTGGCGGTGATCGCATCAAACTAATATCCTTTGATCAAACATTCACCAATTGACTCATACGTCAGTCACAAATCCATCTCCCTCCAAAAAGAGATAGAAAAAAGATCCCACGCGAACTGCTACGGAGGAACGGATACTTTTTTCTTGCTTATCTTTTGCGTTTTGGTTGACACGCGCTACTTCTACTTGTACTGGCTTCACTACTTGCAACGAAAGGAGAATTTCTCGTTGAAGCCATATTTTCTCCAAATTGTTGCCAGTACAAACGTACCCAGGGTACGAGTCACAGACATCTAAATAAAAGGGGCGCTCAAGTTAGTTTCGCTCAAAAGAAAAGGGGCAGATCCTGCCGTCTGACGCCAAACTAGACTAGCGTGCTTGAATTTTTTTATCCCGATATATCTTGCATATCATGAAAGCTAAATAGTTAAAAAACAAGAATGCTTGTTTTGCCAAAATTTGGAGGCCTCTGAGGCAGGACATCAGGTTCTTGAAAATTGGCGAAGATATGGCGATTTTCAAAATTTGAAAGTTTTTTCAAACTGTTTGAGATAAATTTTCTTCAAAAATATAATTTCCTTCAGCGTTGTCTCGATTCAACAATTTTAAGCATTCTACAGATAAGTGTAGTCCTTATAATCACACATCTTTTCGTCTTTCCTTTGGATTTAACGTTTACCGTTTGTCGTAAAACTTTCTGTATTTTTTAATATATTTAGCAGTCATGTTTGCAGAATCATTCAATCAACTAACATTAGCAACAAAAACAGCATCAACAATATCAGTGACTAATGGACCTGCTTCGTCTATGATCTCGGAACTTTTTTCATAATTCTCTGGGTAAACCTTTGTGAAAGAGTGAATGAATGGCCGTGTCCTCCTATTTCAAGACTTTTGTTATCCATTCTGATACAAATGTAGTTATTGTCATAGCTATAAGAGCCTCAGAGCAGATTTTTCGAATAAAGTCGGCAGAGGTAGAAAAATATGAACGTTACCTTTACATTTGCGTCCGCCCTCTTGGACCAGACATATTTCCTCTTGACTTCTACATTCCTTGTCATAGTAACAAGGAGCAATCGTCATGTACACGGCTGTTTTAAAGTCCATCATATTCTCTGGGGACAACTCTGCGTTCATGGTATTCATTTCACAAGTCTCTGTTGTTTGGTAATAGTTTATGCTTTTACATTGGGGCCTCTCTTTGCAGAATATCACGCAAGATTTGATGGTTGCGAATGGTTCGGTGGCGAACGCGTGATTTGTCAAGACGCGATTTTGAGAGGAGTAGGTAACGTTTTGGCATTGCGCGCCTGAAGAGAATGACACACGTACTTGCCAAAAAATAATCACAACGTAAGTTGCTATGACGCCTTTAGTGAGGGGTGCAGTCATTTTCCTAAAACAAACAAACAAAAAAAAAGATTGAGAAAAACGAAAAAGACTTGAGATTATCATCAATTTTTTTCCTTTTCTTGTTAAGAAAACGAAAAGTGCTTTTACTTAAGTCCTTTCAAGCACAATTTTCTATAGAGGACGTTAGGTTTGGTGATTTTCTATTGAAGATAAAGCTCCTGGTATTTCATACAGCTGAAGACTTGATTAAGTCAGAGGAGAGTGGAATTGAGCACAGGATAGCGGTAAGAAATACTTTTCATCTCTCCTTTTACAAAATAATTTAAACAAGTATCAGGGCAAAGCCTTATTTAGGGGTTTTGTCAGCTAACGTTGACAGAAAAAGGGAATACATTCTTCATCAATCATGCAATAGTAGCTCCTTTTCCTATTCCCGCCTCAAAGCAAAGACCGTTGCCCTTACACGTTGTAACTAAAGATTCGAAATATCTCCCCGTAGCGGTTTCATCTCCGTCACCAAATACTATGTAATTTAAATTCAAAGGCGCAAAAGTTAAGTAAAATCTAATGACAGGAAACATATGACTAACCGCTGGTGAGTTCTCCTTTTGCAACCTCACTTGTCATTAATTCTCTGCAAGAAGTCTCTGGGCTAGCAAGAGAAAACAGAAAGTTCTTGAGAAAAATTCTAACTGCCGAATCAAATTGAAACACAACGGGTTGTCTTTCCACGAAGAATACATATACAAACCACGCATTGTTAAGTGTGGGAGCTCACTAAAAATTCCATATCTCGTTCATTATTCAACAGATCTAACAGTGCAAACAGACGGTAGGATGCCAGCGACGTCTTCAGAGAGCCAGCAAGCTTTAGCGCACGATACTAGCAGGTTTTTATTCTTGAACTCTTTTCTCTGCAAGGTTGAGCAAACTCGCTGGTTTTAAGAAGATAAACATTTTCCCGAGGTTGCACATGATAAAGTAAACTAAATCAGAGGATAAGATAATTTTTTCCGATTTTTACTGTCATGCGAACATGAGATTTCTACTTTGTTTAGTTATCGAGTCCAAAATTATCAATTTGTTCACACAATATGAAATACATTAAGAACAAAGGTTAAGTTAAAAAAGGTATAGAGAATGAAAATGAGGCATGAAAATGTGGCTCCTTACTGAACGAAATCCTGTTATTTATTGATAATAAAAGATTCAAAGCTCTGACATGATAAAAATCATTATGACAGTTACGGTACAATTTCACTTAACAGTTCTTGTTTACACGCGAAGTCAGTCGTTCGCTAAGTTACAGAGTCATTACTTGACTGACCAGCTGGGAGACAACTAGATAAAAAAGAGTTTTAAATTTGAAAAAATGAGCGTTTTTCTCATCATTGGTCGATATGGCTAGATTACCAACAGAACGAAGTTGTAGGAAAAACCGTAAAAGGACCTGTATCACGTTCGAAGCACCAAATTGTGGTCCTATTGATGGGGTTGTTCCTAGAGCAGAGTTCAGCGGTATGAGATGCTTATCCGCTTTTTAATTTTTCTTAATTTGTTGGTTGCAAAACTGCAAATTTGAATGTTAAATTTTTAATTGAAGTTTTGGCTAAAACTGCATATCAGGCGAAGGGACTTACTAGATGTGTTACAAAGTTTAGCTTCAACAAACAATGTTAATTCCCTCGCAGCAGAACTAATTAACATCAAACATTTTGAATAGATTACTCAGGTGGCGCCCGAGGTATATGACCATGTTTTGTTAACATCAAAATTAAGGTTATTGTCTAGATTGTTCCACTCATTGATGCTTCAAAAAACAAAATATTGCGTTGTTGATGGGCTCTCTGGAAGGATGTTAATAATTTATGTTGCGCCTTCTTCTGATCGCCTGGCTCACAAGATATATTGATGATATGGAAACCTAAAAGCTAAAAGCAAATTTCCACTAAGCTTATGTGGAATATCGCTGATATGACGTATCTAGTTTTCAATCTTCAAGCGTGTAGATAAAATTATTGGGCATTTAAAAGATATTTAAAGTCCCCATAACAAAGCATATTTTCACAATATTTGGGCTTATGAAAACAACAATTTAACTTTTGATGTATTATGCGATAATAAAACCCTGTCTTGCTCTCCTATGACGCAAAGAGGGAGAAGAACTGTTATGGCCAATTATTTTTAGTTTGATTGATGTTTGATGCTTAAATTCAAATTTCCATTTTCTAGATTGCTTTCTTAGCGCTTTAAAGTTGACAGCTAACCCAGAGTCTTACGTCAGTCTCCCAGTCAAATAGCAACCCAATTTCTTGAGGCCATGGCTTCACAACCATGAATACTTTCGGTTGGTCAGAACTCTATGTAGGCAAGTTTATTTCGTCTTCTATGAAATATCGCCTTTGTCAAATAGATATGTTAAAATAAGTCAGGGACTTAAAAGATTGGAATAGTCGTACCTATGCTGGAAAATTTGACATAATACTCATTCCGTCTTGAACGGCAGTAGAATATCAGATCTCACAGATCATTAAGATCCGGCCCGAATTCATACGCAATTAGCACCTCTTCTTTTCTCTGTCTCACTTACATACATCAAATTTACCTCAAATTTACTTCAAATTTACTTTGATTCTTAGTCTTCCTTCTTCTCTCTAACTTCCAAGTAAACTATAAAATACATGCTTATATATTCACTATCGGTAGGCATGACTGGGGCTTGCTGGCAAGCTGACTTGAAAGATTAAACGTTTGTTGTCATAACACTAACCCAAACACAGACACAGACACAGTGCGCACTTATTTAAATGCAAATTACTCTTCAATGTATCTTAGCCTACCCATGATATTGTGACGGCCCTATTTTTGTTTTCATCGATTTAAGTTCAAGAATATACTATGATTTTTATCGCGAATGGCAACTACACGTGATTTCCATAAAATCTAGTTTTTGATAAGTCCCTTCATGACAGCTTCATCCAGTAACCTATGACACAAATACATTCCGCATGTATTTTCACTCTATTTCACAGACATTCAAAGACAATTTCCTCTTTCAAAAATCTACCTTAAATTATAATAACGAACGATAAAGCCGAATTATAACGTGGATACTTACTTAGTTCTCCGAAAAGCAATGAAACCTGGAAAAGACAAGGAAGACTTTCCACGCCACTCTTTCCTTGCCGTAGGAGGCTAAAAAAAATGATTACGACATCGGATTGTGTGTGCGTCGCAACATGCCATATGAATTGAGTGGGAGTATTTGTAATCGTTTTTTAACTCGTGGGATGAGTGATAAAGGTATTTGATATTCAAATTTCGAGGTACCGGTATTTGCAACTGAAGACACTGGGAAGAGCAGGCATCTTATTAAAGATGGCGGACCGATTTTTTTAACATGGCGGATCAAAATTTTGGCAGACTTTTGTGGGGTTGACGGCTTAATCTGCTTCTTGGAATCACATGATTATTAGCGGAAAGATTTCCGTATAATCCACTGAACACTCCTCTAAAAGATAACTATCGTTTCTGCTTAATGTAAGTTTTCTTTATAAAATATTTGTATGCATACTGAAGTATCGTACAAATCTTGCCTCATTGCATCTAAGTAACATCGCTATATATCCCAACCACACCCTGCTTAGCATATCTGTTCACCATCGCGTTACTTTGACTTCCGAATTGCTGCTTGGACACTGCAATTGCGTGCACCTGCAAAATTGTCATCCATGAATGATCGTTTCATCGCAGGGTTCAATATTTTTTTGCATATTCTTTAAACATATGAGTCGTTTGTTGAAATTACTATGTCAAGCAGCATCAAAACAACTTTGTCCTTGTCGTAATTATTGATCCATGATCAATTGTTCATGCAAGTTATATGATCTTTGCTTCAACGCCTTAGTTTTGCAATAACCATGAATACCCAAGTCCTTTTTGCCTTAAGTATATAAGTTCAATGACAATCTCAGCAGGAGCATATTTGCTAGAAATCTTTACAAATAATAATCCTAGTAACAAATTAATAAAAGTTTATGTCCAATTGTACAAATTGTGAATTGTTTAACTCTCGTAAAGAACCTGCAGTCTTTTGAAACCGATTACAACAGCTAAGTTCTGTGACCTCCAACTGCAAATCTTATTAGTACGATTCTGATACCTAGGTCAAGATAAAGTGTGAAAGTTACTATTCCAACCGAACTGGGGCTGAAGCAGTTATTGAAGGAAACAGCCGCACAACTCTGCCTTAATGGCTCTGTATTGATAGACCCGACAATAGACCCAGTACCTGACAAAGCGGGCCCTGATGTGCTGTGGCAACCCATTTTTTTTTATTTAATAAACATTTATTGAAGAAGCATTTGTACAGAACTAAACTTACATTTCATTACTCTACTTACATTACTCGACATCGCTCTACTCATTACATTACTGGGCTTATTGGATTAATCACCAGTACTTATTTCTTACTTATACTAACAGTCCCTTACTAACGGTGACATAAAGCGTAATGTTACTTACATTACACTACTAAACAGAATATGATTTACAATACATTACAAAACAAAACTCGCAGTTCGCTAATTAAGCTCACTTGCCTACATATAATTACTTGAATACTTTACAAAACGGCACGTACTAACTACTTGTGGTTTGAATTCATTTCCTGGTCAATTGAAAGTTACGAATTTGCCTTTCTAACCGTATTGGAACCGAAGCAGTTACCGAAGGAAACAGCCGTACACCTCTGCCCTCATGGCTCTGTATATATAGGTCCAAGTCTTAGGCCAGAACCTGACGAAACGAGCCCTGATGTGCTGTGGCAGTACATGGGAAATTACTGTTGTCTGATCATTGTTACCTTGAAATACCTAGAAATATTATAGATGTTTATAAGTATCACTTTGCCGAGTTCTTATCGGAATCATTGAAAGATTTCTCTCTTCACTTCTTTCCAAAGTGCGTAGCAAGGAAATTGGACCGCTCATCCTCGAAAGAAGAGCCGAATGTTTCAACAAAACTTGACGAGAGTTGTAGCTATAAATGTTTCATTTTCAGATCGCTCGATAAACTCATTGATTCATTCATCGATTCAATTAAATCAGAGAAAAAAGAAAAAGTGGACTTCAAATTCCTTCACAAGCGCAATAATAAATATTATTACACAAACAGCGCTGGACAATTTTTATGTCTTCTCTTCGGGTCCAGAATAAAGAAAAATGTGACCTTTTAATGATAATTTTCCCAAATAATTGATTTTATTAGATATATCAAATGCCAGACAAATGACTCACCTTCTCATCATCGTTCTCTTTATACGTCACCCAGTCAGTGTCTCCATTGGCTCGTGATGAAAGCGTATAAGTCCTTACCCACTGATAGGCACCAAGCTTCCCCTGAGTAGCGATTTTCTTGATCACCGCGTCCTTTCCGAGGTCAACTTGAATCCAGGGCTCAGGGTCACTGTGGTCCGCAACCCAAGCAGAAGGTGAGTTGAGACGAAAGAGACTGGGTTGTGCTCCCGATGAAGCAGTTATAGATGAATCTGGGATTATTTTATCTTCCAGGCCAAGGGCCTCCATACATACTTACAAAAGAAGAGAAGATAAAAATTCTTTGTAAAGCTTCCTTTCAATAATTAAAATCAGTCAAACGATATCTCCTAATCATTCTTTACATTTGGAGGAGCAAACAATTCCTGGTGATCCTCCACTCTCTAATATGATACTGACCTGCGCTAGTTAATTTACACGACATTTCCAATTTAAAAGGAAATTTTTGAAAAGATGGTAGCTTTACTTATGTATTTGCTTTTGTGCATCACAAGCTGGCTGATCTTTCCTTGCTGTTCACATCCATTGTCAAAATAACAAGAGACTAAAAACAAAATCCCAATATTACCTTTACAGTAGCTCCAGCCCTCCATCACCTGACATATCCTCCCTTGTCCTTCACATTCAAAGTCAAGGTGACAGGGTGAAAAGGCATTGGTCATGTACATTGATAATTCAAAGTCCACCATGCTCTCAGGAGACACTACAGTACTGACGTTATTCAACTCACAAGTCTTTGTTTTTCGATAATAATTTATGCTTTTACAATTGGGATCCTCGCCGCAGAGTATCACGCAACATTCCATGGTTGCACATGGCTTGGTGCGAAATGCGTGACCTGTCAAGACGCGATTTTGAATGGAGTAGGTTGCCCCTTGGCATTGCGTGACTGAAGATAATGTGTCACGCACTTGCCAATAGATGAGCACAGACCATGTTGCAATGGCGCCTTTACTGAGAGGCATAATCACTTTCCTAGAAGGAAATAAAGAATTAAGTAAAATAGAAAAGTTATGAATGACAATTAAATGACCTTTCCCTGAAGAAAATCGGTTAGACCTTTCAGAAGAAACGTATAATCGTTTGTCTCACGATGCGGAAATGAATCGTGTCGTTTCGACTTCATACTCTTAGTCTTCTTCAGACGATGAGGTCGATTGAGTACGCGTCATCCTTACAACTTGCGTAAAAGAAAGCGGGCTGTGAGAACGATTTATCCTAACAGGTTTGGTGTGATGATATTCCATTCTTTAGCAAATTATTCTTGGTGTTTCAAATGGTAGACGAGAAATCTCATCACAAAATGGAGTAAATTTACAGAAATTCTCTAAGAACACATGTCAAACACAATGAATTTCTTTTACATTTCCGTTGTTACGAGTAAAAATAAAATGGGTATTGAGGATGTCTTATCGGACGTTTCCTTGACCTTACTATGACAGAAAAAAAAAGAATTGCGGTTCCACTTTGAGCAATGTGAAACCTTTATTATTTGAGTATAACTTATAGCATTGAGAAGGGAAATTGACATCTCCCAAGTAAAACAAACACAAAAGAGAAATGGAAATCTTCGCTGGAAACTTCGTTCATTAAATAGTTCATAGTTCCATCTGAAGTTTTACAGGATGCTTTCATTGAAAGCGCTTCGAGGAACTCTTTGCGAAACCGAGGTGAAAACAACGCCGAAGTTTAAGACTGGGTTAGTCATGCTTGATCTAAAATAAAGATTTAGCGAAGCCTGGATGTGGAGCTCCAGTTTCTTTATTTGCTATCTCTTTAATTTCTTAGAACTCCTTACTGGCTGTTGAAGAGTTTATTCACTGGAAGAAAATCGGTTACTACCATCTTTTTATAAGTATAGGGCCTCGCTGCGTGCTAGCTTCGCGCGCTTTAAAATCTGCTATTAAATAAAGGCAGCCTTATTTTTGTTCACATCCATAAAGTTTACAATGTTTCTAACTGAGATGTGGGAAGGTTCTGCGATCCTCGTCCCACGCCATCCATACTAAAAAAGTTTCTTTCAATTATTTTTTTAGCCTATTTTCTCCGAGTGTAGTGTTCAACTCTCCTGTCAAACTTTCATTCTGTGTTTTCCTTCAGGGCAAAGTTATTTTTTAACCGTGATGTACAACTTAATATTTCCCTAGAGCTTCTTAATCAGTGATGGGATAAAAATATTTAAATTCAGAAGCCGCCCACAAGGTACGTCAAATCTAATGAAAGGAAAATTAAAACTCACCGTAGCTGAATCTTTCGTTACGTTTCACTTGTGTACGATTCTCAAGTAAAAAATACCCTGTTTAGCTGGGGAAGAAAGAAAGTGCGTAGGCTTATGAATAAAACCAAATCAAAATTGAAACTTAATAGCATATCTCTCTAAGTAAAATACAAACAAAGCGTTGTTAAGTGTGGGAGTGCAATAAAGACTTCCAGATTACCTTTCATCACCAAACACAATGAACACAGAATGGAAAATGCTCAGCAACGCAAACAGCTAATAAGCTAACTCTACATTAGGTTCCATGTTTTCATTCTCTCACAGAGGAACGAAATATCTTGAAAATTTTAGAATAGATAAACAGCATGCTTTTAATAACAAGCTCTCAAAGGGGATGTGAATAATTTATGTGACGCTTTCAAACACTCGGTAGCTCAGTCATCTGTTCACCTGATAGCTAGGATGGCTATCTATATGATGTACGGAAAGGCAAAAATTTCACTACTAATTCACATTCATAGTTTTCGTAAGAATCCATTTGCAGAACAGTATTTCAGCCGTCTATCGGACGAGCGGGCTCTCAACGAGAAAAAAGAAAGAGAAAAACACACCATTATTATTATTCTGTTATCTTTCTCTTTTAGTGGGGCAAATTACTGAGTAAATTTCTCACCCTCATACATCTTTAATCGTGCGTTGATTCAGAAATAAGAACTTCTGAAATTCAGAAAAGTGAGGTTTACGAAGCCTTGAGGGCCAATTTTGGCCCATTCTTCCCTCATTTAATTAAGGTTCTTCAGAGCAAGATCGCGTTCAAATTTGCCGCTTTATCGGTTATGGATTTATCGCAATTCTGTAATAAATTACTTTGCGAAGCTTTAACGTTTTGCCTCGAAAATAGACGATGTTTTTTTCCACAAATTGAACTTTACTACTCAATATAATAGAAACTATAAAAAACGAATTTCGCTCACTGAAGCGCGAAGGTCTAACTGTCTCTAAGGGGAAATCGACTTTCCTTTAAAAAGCACCAACCACTCTTGCCATCGCAGCGTGGACGGCAAAAGAGTGAAAAAGAAAGTTCCGAGACAGATACGTGATTATTATTATTAAGCGATCTATGATCGTATTCACTTAAAGCAGAGAATGGATTAATCACGGCACCCAGTTCAATATTCAGGGTTCTTTTCCCATTAATAACTATAGTGATCAACTCGACTTCATAAAAAAACGTTCGAACATAATTATTAGCGAGCAAACCAAGGACGCATTAAGCCATGCAAACGTCAAGGCTAGAAATTAATGCTGATATGCGGGAAAGAGCGAAGCATGCACTCCGACACTACGAGCGTTTTTCTTCGTCTTGTTTTAAGAAAGGGACAAGGAAATAACATCATAAGTTTATGTTTGGTGGCCATTTTAAAAATAAGATTAACCTTCTCGGGTGTCCTTTGCGGAAAATTGTAAACATGTTACTCGAAGCAGAACCAATGTAGCAACTAGAATTTACATAACAGTCTTATTACCTCATCGCCATGTGTTTGATTCATTCCCAAGTTATACGTTGACATCAACTCAAATCGTTTTTGTTATCGTATCTACGTTAGTTTTTGTTACTGCGACCGAGTTACTTATTCATTCTCTTAGAGTTTTATCGGCATAAGATCAGAACGCCACAGATTGTAAGTTTGTTTTTATTTCATTGAGTCTTTTTGTTATATTTTTTAGTCAGGTATTTGCATTAATCTGCTTTAAGTTGAATCACCTCTTTATGCACATCTATCTGGTTAAATTAATATCTGTGCATTCGACATCTTGACGTAGAACACGTAGAATTTAACTTTAACCACCTTAAAAGATATATCAAAGGAGAGATTATGAAATACGCTTTCGATCCAGCAAATATGGAACCGTTTTAGCTTTATATAATCGTAAACCGACTGCTCGAGGCAAATTAAAAAAGACGATTATTCTTTGAGCGCATTAAATGTGATCACATATGATCGCGCAAATAACACTTCAGCACAGTTTCAATCTTGAAGGTTGGTCTTCAAAACCGTGAGAAGATTTTTTGATATTCTGTTTGGTTACTTTGCAGTTTTTCTGTCGAGTTGCTTATCGAAATTTTTCTGTCGGCCATTGCAGGAGATCATATTCAAAAAAGTGAAATCCTTTAATTTGATTTTTGTGGGTTAGTATCCTGAGAGTGTTCGGATCAAATTTCAAGGCACCTATAGTTTTCCTATAAAATTCGTTCAAAGACGACACAGGAGTAAGGAAGGGTTTATTTTTTTTGCTTCAAAATTTCTGCCGACACTAATTTCACGCCTTTGCGTGACCTCAATCGTATCAAGTAATGTCAACACTGAAATATGGAAATGTTGACCGCAAATAGAAACACAAATGAGCCCTACGGAGCCTGAAGAGACTCAGAAGCAGCTTGTTAGCTAGCACGTCACAGCAAAACTCGTTAATGGTTGCTGGTCGGCTGCGAGCAGCTAAGATTGCTCAGACCACAAGGCCTTATCCGTTTCGGTGAGATCTTTCGCCTTTTTCTTCGCTGAATTTCTTTTAAGTCTTGCGGGAACAGTCAAACTTCTTTTTTAATTTTACCAAAGGACTCTTCTCCTTTTTGTCCTTCCCAAATTCACATTCTTATTCTTTCTGGAACTTTAGTAAAGATACTAATGCTTAGTTTCACTTGAAAGACTGTATCTTTAAAAACCCTAATGTGATTATCATATTTCTTATCATGTGTCAAAACATCTTGCTTCCGCTAGATATCAGAGGCTGCAGTTCAACTATCATGATCTCATTACTTCCCCTTTTAGTATCTGCACTGGATTTAGGTGCGATATTCTTCACTGTACGAATGATGCAGAGATGTTTCAGAGACAAAAAGAAGCAAAGGTTTATTAAAAAGTGTAAAATATTGGGCTCTTTTCAGTGCGTTTGTCAAGTCACAATTCTTTTCTCGGATGTCACAGAATCATGGAATGGTTTCAGTGTTCAAGGCAAAGATTCCTGCAATGTCTTCAGGGTGTTGTCCCTTTCTATGACGTTCTTCCAAACTGGCAACTTAACGGCGATCTTAACAGTCTATCGCGAACACTCTGTAGGATACGAGAACCGGGATTTAAATTCAAATCTCCGAATGTTTGCAGTGCTCATTTTGGGTTTCGCTGGCTCTTTAATGATATGGTGGCACAATTGTTTCGCTAAAGCAGTCGTTTCTCAAGCAGCCCTCGAAGTTGCTTTGTTTCTGACGATGTTACTGATTTTTTTGCTACTTGTTGTGGCTCTGGTCAAAAACAATGATGAAGATAACTTGAAAACCACTTCACCAGAATCAGACATGGCGACACATTCGTGCTCTCTGCTATGGAAGTTACTTAGAGTTAACAAGAAGCCTCTCTTCTTCATAGTTTTAATATTTTCTTGTTTAGGTGCATTGATACGCAGGCTTCCCTGTTCGATACCACTTCTTTGCCAGGACTTTGACCGAGGAATATTATTGGACGCAGTCCTTTATTCCTTGATTACCAAGTTTGTTGTGGGAATAGTTTTACCCATAATACTGCATGATTTGATTAATTCGAGCGATCTAGACAGAGAGATAAAGGGATAGACAATGTTACTTAAAGACAAACTCAAAACTTGACGATGAGCAGTGTTACTGAAGCAGAAGTTCGTTATATGGAGCTCGCGTTCTTGAACTGACCCTGTCATAGAGTTTTAAGTTTCCCTTGGAAATGTGACAGGTTGATTACAAAAATTGAATACGTCCCTAATTCAATTCGTATTCACATAGTTGCAAACACTGAAAAACCATCCAATTTTTTTTCTCCACATTTTTATTTCAATTAATAGATACAAATACACATTGTAACACATGTCAATGGCTATTTCTTATTCAATACAAACGAAAGTTGTGTAACGAATCATATTCTAATGGAAGGGAGCCCATGATTAATGAATAATTTTCATTTAGCTTAATTTTTCTCATCTGCATTGTTTTTAAAGCATTATATCGTGCAGTCTAATATTTCACATTTATCAATCCCTAAAATAAGTCAATGTTTGGGTTGACACTTCGTCAACGTCTTGTCCCATGGGATATGACACTTTGCAAATCAACATGTAATTTGATAAATCACTTTCCTCATCCAATTTACCCAGTAGAATATCCTGAAGAGTGATTTCGACATTCCTATCAGAAAGCCAAAAAAAAGGTAATGTCTGCTTCGATGAAATTTGATGATCGTTAAGATCTCCAGGATTTAGTGTGTGCTTTAATGATCACGTTTGTTTTTCGAAGCTGACTAGCAGACTGTTGAACGTGTGTAGAAAATAACTGAAGCACTTGGTTAGCTTTTCAAAAGACTAGTAAAAAACTTTTTATCAGTTGCGCACATTGCCCTTTTTTCTTTTCTTTTTACATCAGGGGTTTTCATTTTCTTAAAAAAATGAGTAGTCCTTTTGCAGAGCTGACACTACCTAGATTCACTACTTACTATTATTCCGTCTAGCTATAGTTAATTTCTAGGTCAATTGAGGTTTTGAAGTTGCTGTTCCAGTTGTTTTGGTGCTAAAGCAGTCACTGAATTAACAGCCGTACAGCTCTGCCCTCATCGATTTTCATACACTTATCCGAGTCATCGGCCAGAAACTTACGAAACGAGCCATGACGTGAGAGGCTTCGGAAGGAGCAGGCTGGATTTAGACAGAATAGAAGTACAGTTGAACAGATCTTAATATAAAGAAACATCTTAGAGCAGGCAAACGAATGGAGGGCGAGTCTGTTATGCACTATGTGGACATTGAAAAAGCCTTCGATTCGGTACACAGAGAAAGCTTGTGATACATTATGAGGAGCTATGAAATAAGTGATAGCAGGCATATAAGAAGGGTTTGAACGCCAGTAATCGACAGATGCGAGATATCAGACTGGTTCAAGATTAAGTAGGAAGTAAAGCAGGGATATGCAATGTCAGGATTCTTATTCTTACTGGCCATGGCACTACTTTCATCCAACTTTAATAACTTGTGTGAGAAGCCTGGGAGATTGACGTAGGAAGCAGCCAAAGTAGGCCTTAAACTTAATGCGAGAAAGTGCAAGACACCGAGGACTGATTTTGCTAGGAAAAGGGAGAAATTTGTGATGAATTGTGAAGAGGTGGAAGATGAAGAGACGTTATGCGTATCTTGGAGCTATTGTAGACAAGGAAGGTTGAGGCAGTAAAGATATTAGGAACAGACTGCAGAAGGTACGAGGTTCATTCCAGAGGCTACGGAAGGTGAGGAAAGTCAGAGGAGTAGGAAGGAGAACCAAGATACGCCTTTTTTAAGACTTAAGTCCGACCGGTCCTGCTATATGTTTGTGAAACATGGAAGATCACAGAGACCGATGAAAGAAAACTGAACAGTTTCCA